TTATTTTTGATACGGGGGATTGAACTCGGGACCTTGCGCTTGTGAGGCAGGCGGTGGCACCACTGAGCCAAATCCTCGGCCCTATATATATATTTTTTAAAGAATCAAATTCTTAAAATATTACAGAAAACTACTATCTGTTGGAAGAGAAGCCAGTACAGGCAAACTTGACTGGTTTCGTCTGTCAGCAAAAACTGGCTTTTCTTCTGATTTTTGGCCATCTTTCTAGCAATGTAACTATTTTAAAATGACATATAATGCATTAAGAACCATATATAAATAAATAAAAAATATAGATCAAGTATTCTGAAATTTTTTTTATTAGATATCTCTTTATTGTCAAAATAAGCCATTGATGAGACTTTGTATTGCACTAGCACTTACCAAGGACTTACCATGCATTATAATGTCGAGGATTTACTCTGATAGCATTTCGAAAACAAGCTAATGCTTTATCTAGTTCTTCAGTTAACACAAACTCATGCCCTAATAGAGTATAGGCATAAGCATAATTTGGATCGACCTGGATTGCTCTCTGGAAGAATTTAATTGCAATATCATGTTCCCGTTGCAGACTGAAACAGTTCCCTGCAGCACACCAGGCCTTAAAAAGATGGAAACAAAAAATAAATAATTAAAAATTTATCTTTTCTCGCAAAATCAAATTTATGATTAAAATCAAGCCTCAGACCTCACTTAGAACAGAAAGACAAAAACTGAATAGCTTTAAACAGCCTGTGCTCATTATTCATGGATTCTGTATTTGTAAATCTGCTTACTTGCTAAAACCAAAAACAATACTTGCAATACTTTTCTGACCATTTGTGAATTCAACATCTGAGCTGCCCAACAGGCACATTTTCAACTGAGGGTGAACAAGGTGGTTCTCAGCTCTTATAAAGATGATCAGAGGACAGAGACTGTGATGGAGTTCAGTATAGCACAGGAAGCCTCAGCTCTGAGGAGAGTTAAGAATTGGAATTCCACCACTGGCACCTATTAGTAGGGTGGCCTTAGATAAGTCACTTCAATACTTCTAAATCTTATTTTCTCACTTGTAAAATAAAGATAATACAATCTACCAGGATGAGTTGTTTTTAAGATTTAAGATTATAATCTGTGTGATATTTATATACACACATATTTCACTAAGAAAAATGGTGCAGTTATCATTAATAGTGTTCACAGAGCACTGAGAAGTGACTATATTTAATTCTAACTATGTTACAAAAGCATTATTAAATATTCTTTTTAAAAACTGTACTGGGGGGATCTGGGGTGTGGCTCAGTGGTAGGGCTCTTGCCTAGCATGCTCAAAGCCCTGTGTTCAATCCCCAGCATTGCCATAAAACAACAAAAAACAAAACAACACCCCTCCTGCCCCAAAACTGTACCAGGGATAGAACCTAAAAGCTCATACATACTGGGCAAACACTGCACTGCTGAACTTTAACTTGCACCCCTAGTCATTTGGGGGGCGGGTATTGGACCTTGAACCTAGGGCCTCTGCTCTGAACTACATGACAGCCCCTTTAATTTTTTTTTTTTTTGAGAGAGAGTTGCCTTGCTAAATCACTCAGGCTGGGCTTGAACTTTCAATCCTCCAGCTTCAGTTTCTCAGAACATTGAGATTACAGATTTGTGCCACCACGTCCAGCGTTACTAAATACTCTTGAGATGCCTTGAAATATAATTCTTACAAAACTGGAGTATGGGAATTAACTGTAACTATAACTTAAAATAGCAATTAAAATTACTAACTTAGGCTGGGCCTGGTGGCACACACCTGTAATACCAGCACTCGAGAGGCTGAGGCAGAGGCAGGAGGATCGCTGCAAGTTCAAGGCCAGTCTGGGCTACATAGTGGTGAGACCCTGTCTCCAAAAAAAAAATTTTTTTTAATTACTAATTTACTTTAATGTAAAATCAGCACTTCTTTTAATCCTTATAAATTCTGCTTAATGAACACTAATCTTGGTAACAGCAATTTTAATACAGTCAAATCTTGACCAATCATGAATGAATTATCTGCTTTTTCATTTTTTATTTGTGAATCTGGACCACATATTCTAGGACTTTCTTTTCTTCTGAGTTCCTTGCCTAGAAAGAGAAAAGTATAGGTGATACTAAATCGTGTTTGAACAACAGTCATATTTCAGTCAATAACAGATCCCACAAGATTATATCACCTGTGATGTCACAGTTGTCTTAGTTTGTGTAATTACACTCTATGATGTTTTGCATAATGACTCAATTGCCTAATAACACATTTATGAGAATACATCTCTGTCATTAAATGATGTAGGACTGTATTTGATTCATCTCCCATTTGATAAGGGTAATCGAAAGGTTACTAAGTAAGCAAAGTGTTTTTGTTAGTATACCTCTGGTGAATTCTTATCCATGTCTGTTAAGTCTTTTGAAAGAACTGATAGAGCAACATCTTTTTGAAGATGCCAAAGTGTTGTAGAGTAGATCTCCATGCCTTCAACTCTGTAATTCTCAATTCTTCTAACTTCTGAGAATATTCTTTCAGCCTAAAATACAAAAAATTAAGAGAAAAGAAGTTGATACAATTTACATATATATAGATAGCACTGGTCACTGTCTTCACAGGACCTAAACGCTATCCTGTATTCCGATTTTTCATGTGAATCAGTAAGAATACAAGAACAAAATGAGCAACTTCTGTGACAGTGCAAATATTGATGTCATCATAATCACATTTAACCTAGTATTTTACACAAACCATGGTAAGAATATGAACTCCGGGGCTTGGGATACAGTTCAGTGATAGAATGCTGGTTAGGCCTTAGGTTCAATCTTTAGCATCATAAAAGACAAAAAGAAAAACATGAGCTCTGGAAATTTAAGTTTCTACCAAAATGAAATAGTCTGTAGAAAGTTACAATTTTAAAAAGTCAAATCTGATACTTTCTTCTCAAAAAACACATTTTCATTGGCCATGATGGCACACACCTATAATCCCAATGCTCAGGGAGAAGCTGAGGCAGGAGGAGGATGGCAAGTTTGAAGTCAATCCCTACAACTCAGTGAGTTTCAGGCCAGCATGGACAATTCAGCAAGCTAGTCTGGACTACGTAGTTAAAACAAACAACAACTGGGGCAGGAGGTTTAGCTCAGTGGTTCCAGCACCTGCCTCGCAAGCTCAAGGTCCCGAATTTGATGCCCGGTACCAAAAACAAACAAACAAACAAACGAACGAACAAACAAAAAACCCCCCAACAACAAAATCAAAATGCCACATTTTCAAGTTTTAATAATAGCTTTACAGAATTTTTCCAGAAAAGATTTTTTTAAAATGTCCTATGTAGCACAAAACCTATTTTTGCATTGATTTACCAAGAGGTTGAGTTGAAAACTTTACAGAACAACTTAAGATGGCTTCCAATCCTCTGACATGTTGAGCATGAAACACAACCACCAACATTTTACCTGAGAGAATTGTAGTTCCCATCTACCAATTAACTTCATTGGGCCTTGATCCAACTGAGGGCTCTCCTCAACTGTTAAGTCATATGTTTTTCCTCCTCATATTCCCAGCTCTCATTACTGTGCTTCTTTTCCCCAAAGTGTGAAGGTTTAGATTATATAAAACAAATTAGCTTTTTAGTTTATTAACTTATCATGTATACAGTTCTCAAAGAATATGGACTATTTGAGCTGTTCTTAATGAAATGAAGGTAGAAAAATTTAAAAAGGACATTTATAAAACTGATTATTTATTTCTAAGGAATATCCATGTGGTATGTAGGATTAGCTTGGTGATTTGTAACTTCACTAAAGTCTCTTAAAAGTTGTAAAGACAAGTTTTTCAAATGGGGATTGATTGTAAGATGACATACTGACCATCAGCCAAAAATAAATATGGATACATTTTTGGTTTCAAAGTTTTCACAATCTGCTGCTTCCTCTGAAAAGTGATTATGATATAAAGTAAAATTGAAAAAGAAACTGAAACAATAAAATTAAGTTTAAAAAGTATCTTTAATTATTTGGGTAACTATTCTATAACCAGGGCAAACAATAAAATTCATGTATGTCAAAATACCTGTGAAACAATAAATCAGAAGTAATTCTGAAAAGGGTTCTAAAACATAGCTTTTGCATTTGTGTATATACACTGTATACAAGTAAACATTCATATTCCTAAAACAGGACTTCTAGCAATAAACAAGGCTTTTTGGCTACAACCTCTTTTTGGCACTATACAAAAATCACACAAAAACTACAGATATTCTCAATATTTATTCTCTGCTCAGAAGAACATTTCCCCATGTTGTATGTGCATGAGATGGGTTGAACTCAGGGCCTTCACACTGAGCTATATCCCCCAGCCTTTTTTTTTTTTTGATACAGATTCTTTTTTTTTTTTGGTACCAGGGCTCAAACTCGGGTCCTTGTGCTTGCCAGGCAGGTGGCAGAACCACTGAGCTAAATCCCTGGCCCTTGATACAGATTCTTGCTGGGCTTGAACTTGCAATTCTCCTGCCTCTTCTCTCCAGAGTGCTATGATTATAGGTGTTTAACACCACACCACACTCACTCCCTTGTATCTTTCTACGGCTCATGAAAGAAGTGACCTTTCTTCTCTGAGCACATTAAAAAAAAACCAATAACAAAAACACAGCACCACTCTTTTACAGTCCCTTTTCATACTTCATTCTTTTTCATGTGATTTTCTGCTACCTAACCTTACATTTTTGTTGGCTTACCATTTGTTTCTTTCTGGAATGGAGTATGTTCCATAGAGGAGAGAAATTTTCTGCCTAGGTGTATTAGAGATTCTAGGAGAGTCTTGGACAGTGATGGTGAACTTTATAGAACTTTCAATGATAACAAATAGCCAGCTGCAGCATGCATACCATCCGTTTGCCACCACTAGTCTAGGACATAGCATACACTATAATACATCTTGAATAAATAAACTCCAAATAGAGAAAAAAGTAACTCTGTCAACTTTAAATAATCTATATTCAAGAAATTTTACTATAGTCTTTTTTTTTTGGTACCAGGGATCGAACTCGGGACCTTGTGCTTGCAAGGCAGGCAGTAGAACCACCGAGCTAAATCCCCGGCCCTAGTCTTTTTTTTTTTTAATTTTAGGAGAAGATGGTAATGAGAAAATGCTTTGGGAAGGAGAATTGGGAGTAGGTAATTTAAGTTGGAAATTAGAATTTTCTTTGACTTCAGGTTAATCATCTTTTTCTCATATAAACAGATAAAGCAACAATTTTAATTAAAATTAAAAGTATAAAGCCTTATGATAAGAATATTATATCCTCAATTAAATACAATTTTCTTCATAGCATTCAAATTTATAAAAAGATATTAAGGCCAAAAATTCATCTCAGTAAATTATTTTGTATATTAGAGTGTAAGTTTTTTTTTTGAGGTCCTGGGAATTGAACCCAGAGCTTCACACATGCCAGGCAAGCACTCTACCACTGAGTTACACCTTTACCCCCTGTATATTGTAGAAATAATTTAGATTATAAATATCTATTGCATGGTAAATACATTATTTTCCAATGCAACTCACTAGGATATAAGGTATTCCACTTAAGACTGTATTGATGACATTGTTCTCTACAAGTAATCTATTTCAAGAAAGCACAAAAAATTTAAATTACTCATCTCTTAATGAAAAAATTTTAGTAATTACAAATACTGAGAAAATAATTGTATGAGCATTATATAGTAACTGTTGACCTTTTAGATCTAGCCTTCTCAAGCATAAGCCTTTTAATTAAATTTATTTCTAGAATGGCATATATAACAGTTTTGTTTTGTTTTTTGGTACCGGGGATCGAACTTGGGACCTTGCACTTGCAAGACAGGTGGCAGGCAGAACCACTGAGCTAAATCCCCAGCCCATATATAACAGGTTTTTATACTTACTTGCATGTATTCTGAAAGTTCAAAATAGGCTCTTCCGATTTGGCACAATACCCAACCAGTATTGTAGTGGTGAGAAGGTAGGTGGCTCAAAATATTTATAGCTTCTTTGCAGTTGTATGAACACAAAGCTAAATAACCTTTCCCCATTTCACGAAGAAGGCTCATCAAACCTTCTAGGAGAAAACAATATAGTAACCAAACGAGAAAAGCAAAAAAAGTAATTTTCTAGAAAAGCTAATTACAAACTAATCCATTAAAAATTCTAACATCTATCCAGAAAACAATGAGGGAACGTAATGAACATTAAGCAATTTACTTAAAATAAGTACAAAATAAAATCATATAAAATAAAATACAGAGATGATATTAAACATTTAAAACAGACCTGCTGCTGCTTTTTGTAGATTAAAAGCCTGGATCTGAGGTGTGAATGTGGATATTTTCCCTTCTGAAATGATGGAAGAGTCCAATTTTGTAATTTCCAGGCTATCATTTATGTTAGGTTGAGTTATTCCTCCTTTATTAGTTTTACTTTTTGTTTTCCTGTTTGGGATTTTAGGTGGAAACTTCATTTTTAATTTTTTGCTATTCTCCTGTAAAAGGTAATAAAATTCCACACTTATTATACTCATGTATTTTAGACTGCTCCCTCAATCCTTTGTCAACTATTAAATATAAATGTTCAA